TTGATCTATAATCCTGAGAAGTTTTAGTGTCGTATTGAACCCGGCCAAGCGCGATGCAAACGGATTTTTCAAGATTCTCTTACTCTCCTCGCATCTTTTGCTTTCGCGACATCCTGTCCAAAGATCAAAGTTTGGTGCATGCGCAGTAACGGGATACTGTGCCTTTAAATCGTCACGCGGCGGCTTTTATACGAATGAGAATACAACTTATTTCAACAATAAAAGTAAACATTGTGGTTAAAATCAAGTAAAGTGCTTATTTAAGTGTTATTTTTCATGTAAAGCACAAAAATTACCATTTCTCGCGGTTTTAACCTGATTTCTAATGCATGGTAAAATTTAAGATGGCGGCCATGATGGCGACTATTGTTGGTGACGTCACAGGCCTCCAGCAGCGCCACCACCCATAAAATATACCTCATCTTGTTAGGAAGATCAAATGCTTTCCACTGAAGGTAAAATCGTTTCAAAATAGTGCAACATATCAAAAACTCCGAGCAGGGGTCCCATCCACCACCTCCCCCCCCCCTCCGCCCCTTTTTACCACTCTGATGGTAAGAATTTGCGTGTATGTCAGAGGGTTAATATTAGGAATGACAGATTTTGCTTATTTAAACAATTATACCTTGCTGGTAAACATGAAATCTTAAAATCCGCTTTCGTTATGACACACTACAGTTTTTGACCGAATCATTTATTCATGAAATCACAGAGTGCTGTCTCCTATTCGATCCGCAAACTTGGAGGACTCAAAATACCTTTTTTCAAATTTGACTCTATTGGACTTAAAGCACTTCCGTAAAGCGTGATCTACCAAATATAAAACAACTCTTCTAAACTTGTTACTTGCATCATTCCTTAATGTCTCTGTAAAATTTTGTCTAAATCGCCTCTAATTCAGCCGAGAAATAAGCGTTTTAAAGATGTAGTACAAGTAAATTTTTGCCGCATGAATTTATTCATTTGAGAGTTTACGCTTCACGTATATGGCATAAGGCAAACGTCAGATTCAAGTTGAAAATTTCTCAAAATAGAAAAGTAGCAGATAAAGACGGTTCAAAACAATTCATATAGATAAAAGAACTGCGTGAAATTGTATAATTATCTAATTAGAAATTATTCTTTTCAGACATTGTAGAACCAATCTTTTAATCAATAAAAACTGTTGCAAAAATTAAAAAAAAATCCCCTCGGCCTTAGGCCCCGACCACCACCATTTCTTGTCCACGGACCAGAAGAAATGGCCCGTTTTTGTCTCGCCTATATTGAACATCCGGAGTCCGAAATGCGGTAGACTAGAATCAGAGAATGGGTGTTAATAACATCGGTTCCGTTACAAATAACATTGCCTTTGAAGCAGAATTGAATGTAAAGGGGATTACCGTTAACTTTGTTCAGAAGGTGATGTCTTCGAATCAGGTAAAAAGTGCTATCATCATCGTAACTTAAGACACAAGCGTGCACTCACTGGCATACTATAAGGGGGTCACGAAAGAAAGTATTGACAGATGTCATCCATCATCTGCTCTCTCTGCAGTTCTTTCTAGTCTGACAATTCAGAAAATTCCCAACCCTTCTCCGGACACTCCTGCCATTCAGTTTGTTTTGTGACTGTTCGCTCCTTCCCCCTTCCCAATGAGAAAATGTGTCTCATCAGTTTGAAGATCACTGACCAACCATGACGCTCGTTATTGTTACCTTTGGGTCTGCTTCCCCGGGCTAAGATCAAATACAACTTCCAACGGCACGAGCCTTGTCAGAAACAAATAAAATTTATTGTTTTTGTTTGGCCTTCGCTTCTCACGAATTTCTGGACGTGTATCTTCCGGGATGCAATCATAGGCGTCATTGTTAGGATTCTATATATCAGTAATCGAGTAACGATTGAGAGAAACCGATAAAAATTAAGAGCTATCTTTTTTCTAGGTTTTGTGGTGAGATCCTGATTTTTAGTTCATTGTTATCTCTTGTGTTTATGTCATACAGAACAGAAGTAAAGATAGGTTGACTGAAAAGACGTTCTAATCGCTTAAAGGTAGTCAAGAAACGACGCAAAAAAAAAAAAACAAACACTTCACAAGGTAAATGAATTTCACAGGAGGTTAGTTTTCTTTTTTTTTTTTTTTTAACTCCTATCCAAATGCTTATATTTTGCTACCAAGAGGACTTCAACGGAGACTGGGTCTCCTGTGGTGATACATTAAAGGAAGAGCAGCCTGCTACATTTCCTTGTCAACGATCCAGATGCGAGTACGCCGAAAATTTGGCTAACAATAAACACGCGAACGGAAAAGACACCATAGCAGCAGTACAACAATTGTGATCTACGCATCACCTATACATAATGCCGTGCTATGTACATTGGGCACCTCCGCTCCGTGGAAGGTTACCCGCCACTATCGCCTATTTCAATATAGAGGATTCATCAGCCCCCGTTGCGTAACATTTCAACCTTCAATTCCGGACCACAATTCCACTAACGACATATACCTGGGTCTATGACCAAATAAGCATCGTGAGGAAGCGCCAGAAATAAGAAAGAAGAAATGGACATTTTCGCCCACGAGACCTTGTCACCACGTGGAATAAACAGTGAATTTAAGTTTTATGTTGCATTTTGCACTCTTTTTCAGCTGTCTCGCAGCCACCCTACAAGACGCCGTTTCAAGATTTTCCTCCATAAGCCGAGAAAAGTGATTGCTCTTGCAGCCTACCATAGGCATTACTAGGGATTTTCCAGTGGTACCTGCGTACATTTTTCCAAATCAACTCTCCCAAATCGTTTCCACGCAGGTGACCTGACTGATTTTTTTGGGCGTTTCCTTTGTTAGTATTACCAAGAGGATCCTTCCTTTTCACTACAGATTGCTCGTGTGCCAAAATTCGGAGAAACCACTGCATTTATCAGTCAGAAAGTAAAGCACAGTTGTACCATTTTATCTCTTAATTGCCAAATGTGCACTTCCTTTGCTTTATTTCTAAATCGTTTTGTTTTTATTTATTTGCGAAATTTCGGTTCCGCATGTGCGTATTGGCGTTTAGGTAGCTTCCCCCCTGCCTATTGTATACATCAATTTTAGTTCTTCAAGATTTCCTCTGTAACAAAGTGCAAAGAATAGGGTTTGATTGTTTTTTTTTTCACCTTCTCTCCTTGGCTCTCTTGCAGTTTCTTTTGTTCTCCCAAGGCCCTTCTCCGTAATTCTAACAACTTCTGGTTATTGGGCTCTACCTTGTATTAATTAAAGTGTTAAATAATTTGAATAAATAAGCAAACAAAGCTAACAAACTTGACACAAATTGTCTTAAGTCACATGACCTTTCGTTGCTGATAGAAAAGAAGCTACTGTACGGACTATGTACGTACATGACATGAACATCTTGACGTCATGATGACATCAAATAACGTGATTGTGTCAATCACGCCATACTAAGGCATTGCAAATGATGAATAAATCATTCTGTGTCACCCTAGAGGCCCTATGAAAGCGCTTTTAAAGTTATAGAGTGAGGGGAAGGGGAGGTGGGGTTCCGAAGCATGTCACCTCTTTCTCAGATATGTTATGCATTCGCCCAGAGACTGACTTGCAGCGTCATTCCTAGTGTTTTATGTGAGTTCAGTAAAAGAGAAACGTTTTTTTTTTTTTACGACTTAATGTTTGAAAATTTAGCCGAAAATCATCTCAAAGTGCCTGTACACGCCGCATAGCCGGTACACACTCAGAATAATCTGTACAGCCGGTACAGTCGGTACACTTTTCGGTAAAGCCGATGCGCTCAAAAGCAGTCGGTGCTTCTGATTCAGTGGGTACACTCGGTACGCTCGCATATGTTAGATTATTTTCTGTGAAATCTTCTATTGTTTTCGCTAACCAGCCAATGAGAGAGTCACTTTGGAACGGTACAGACGAGTTATGAGTTTAGATCTACTAGCTCTCCTGCTCACACCTACACAAAAATACATTTTTCAAAGTTGAAAGTTAGAATTTTTAAGGAGATGTACTTTAAAATGTTTATTCTTGTAAAGGATACCGCTAATCCCTTATCACACCACTCATTGGCTTCGTTAAACTTTTTCAACTGAATGCAGGCACTTGCCCCTGTAAAGGCAAAAAGCACAGACGTCAGCTACAATGGACAAAATTATCGAGAACTATAATCGGAGATTGAAGTCATCCAACTGATTTGAATAATAGATTTGTTTCGGATTCCTTTTCAAAGTTTTTGCCGGCCCTTATCTCGCCCCATGAAAAGGAATCCAAGACGGTCTTGAATTCTGAGTTCCTCGCTGTGGATTCCTCATTCCAGATACTGGATTGTAGTCTTTGTTAGTGGAGCTTGGATTCTGGATTCCAATCATTAGTTGGATTCCTGATTCCTTGGGCTGTATTCCTGATTTTAAAGCCCAGGATTCCGGATTCCACAGGTACAAATATATCCCGGATCCCGAGTTCCACAAGCAAAAATTTTCCGGATTCCAGAATCCGGCTTCCCTTACACGGGGCGAGAAAAGTAATAAAAGATCTCTGAGTTAGAATATTAACAGGGCTTGATTAAGTGATGGTAGAAATGAACATAGAATTGGCTAACATTTTCAAGTTTTCTCATTGTGCCTAGGAAAAATCACCAGAGAGTAATAATGCTTAAATTGCTTTGAAATTCTACGCCTCATTGTTTCAGGAGCAACTCGTTTTATACTCAGAATAATTGATGATGTGAACTGTGGAAATACAAATGTATGTGAAAATATGATCGGCGCAGTGGTACTAAAGTAAAGCAATTGCAAAGTAACCCGAAAAAAATTAGGGACTTCAACGGTATTCAAGGCCATAGCCTCTGCGTTCGCCCTGTAGTGCTCTAATCAACTGAAATTTGAAGACCCATACATTGGGAGCGCTGAGGCCAATTTCACGGGTTAAGATGAAATCGACAAATTGGCCTGAGTGCTCCCAATGTATGGGTCTTCATATTTCAGTTGGTTAGAGTACTACAGCGCGAGCTCAGAGGCCATGGGTTCGAATCCCGTTGGAGTCCCGAAAATTTTTTTCTGGTCACTTTGCAATTGCTTAAATTGCAAATACCACTACGACGATCATATCTTCACATAAATTCGTTTATACTCAGTTATTCATTATTTTTTAGATTTGTAGCTCACAGCGCGTAAATGCCTCATGTTCCAAATTCACATTGGTTGAAGGTTAGCATCATTCGTTTTCTCGTTAAGTATCAGTACACAAAACTTTAACTCTTACCTCTCACAGAAGCTTTCAAAAAAGATGGTTGTAATTCAGTGGCAACTTTTGCATCATTTACTGTTTCAGGGTAATTACCTATTAAAATAGATCGCAGAACACACTATGTAACAGCCCAGATAGCTTTAACAGAACAAGGGAAGAGGACATAAATAGCCAACACTGCTAGCGCCACTTCAGTAGACAAAAGGTAAATAAAAGGAAAATACCTCTTATTAGCCGAGATTGAGGTACGGTCTGAGCTGTAAATTTCGGACCAAGTTTTTCTTTCTATCGATTTATATAGTCTTTGAAAGGCTTTCGGTCAGTGCGAACGAGTAGAAAAGCCCACGAGCAGTGAACTAGGGAACGAGCGAAAAACGGCGGGAACAGAAAAGGAGAGGGGGCCTGAAAGCAACTTTTCAAAAAATAAATCGTAATTTACAGTAGGGACCGAGAAAATGAGGTTTATAAGATGTTTAACTGTGACTGAGATAAACGTTCGATTACTGAGCAGAATCCTCTCCTTCGTTAAAATTACTATTCAGTATCTTTACTTTAGCTTCGCTCTCAGTTGAAATAAACAATTAAGGTTAAAATTAGGACGGACGAAGTAAACTTCCAGGTCCTCGACTTTTACAGACATATGATAACTTTCTTTAAAACAAATTTTTCGAGTTACATAGATCTACAGCTGCAAATGAGCATTGGCTTTTGAAAATGTGGTCCGCACGGTAGGTTATGGACCGCAAATTGACCAATCGCAGGGCGAGAACAGCTGAGCCATATAATAAAAGCTAATATAAAACAACTTCTTACCCAAATCAAAATGTGCTGCGGCTCTGTTACTGTACAGTTTGGCGTTAAGTTCTTCATCTTTGCAGTTCGCTTTAATTCCTTCCGAGTAGAAGTGAATGGCGCTGTTAAAATTCTTCCTGTTGTATTCATTGTTACCCTCATTCTTATAAACCTCTGCAATTGCTACAACGAAGAAAATTAATTAATTCTAGGTGTCTCAAACTTTCGTCTTAACAAAAATGGGAAATTGTGGCTTTTCTGTGTTCAAAATTTCCAAATAGCCCTTTCTTTAAAATTTACAACTGCTGCAGCAACATACACAATTTTAGTTCACAAAATTTTAATTTCGTTTAACACGACAGCGTAATGTTTTGCCGTCGGGGTTTCATTGATAAGAATACCTAAGACAACGGTTGTGGTAACGGCGTACATATTAAATTTAATTGAGGTTTTTTCCGTCCATGCACACTAAACGTTGACAAGTGCAGTAATTCCGCTCACCGAAACCGCATCTTTTTGAAACCGGTCTTGGAGTGGTCCAAGGCCCCGTCAACGTGAAGCCATGGGTGAAAAATTGTGAGATTTTTTTAAATGTTTGGATTCGTTTGGACGAGGCCTGACTGTTTGTACCGTCTCATCTCTCAATCGTCGACATAGAAAGCACTAAGCAGCATGTTGTTTTCTTACCTCTTAAATTGTCATCATCAAATTGAAGTCTTCCCTCAGCAGCTGATGTAACGTCATCTTCTTTTGGAGCTTCATCAAACTGAAATGTTTTTTCAGCAGCTGGTGTCACGTCATCTTCTTTTGGAGCAGTAATTGGACCACTCTTCATGCCGGGATTCTATAAATTTGATGTCATTATGTTATCGTGATGTTTGCAGCAAATACAGCGCAGATATTGTTAAAAAGAAATGCACAGCTCGGAACTCTTTCACATCAAATAGAAATAAGCTCGGATAACTTCTCATCTCATAACTCTTCTCATCTTCGTCGGTTGCGAACAGCTAAAAATTTTAGTGCAACTGGATTACACAAAACAAGTTTGTTTTCACTGCTTTTATTTTAAATTATTAAAGAAGATTAAAACTGAAGAGACTCACTTTGTTGACTTTGTGTCATACTTTCTTGCTACTGAAAAATCGTAGGGCAAATATCGACACGGACGGGGTGTATTGCCTGATACCCGCCCTCCGATTTGGTACCCCCATACCCAAAATAGCCAATAAAATCGGGCGAAAATTAATCAGTGAATTATAACGACTGATATCGACAGGTTAACGAGACATTCTTACTTCACGAAAGATGATGAGCGAGTAATAGGCCTGCGCCCCATTTGTACGATGGCGCCGTTCCACTACTTCGACCAGAAAAAAAAAAAAAAAAAAAAGAAAAAAAAAGAAAGTCCCACCAAGGTCAAAAAAAAAAAGAACTAATTTGAAAAAAACAAAAAACCCTAAAGAGTTTTAATTTTAGAGATAAAAAGACGTAAACTGAAAAAAAATTAATTTAAAAAGTTCAGGAAACAGGAGGGAACGGAACCAGAGAAAAAACTATTTATTCAAAACACGCCGCATAGCCGGTACACACTCAGAATAATCTGTACAGCCGGTACAGTCGGTACACTTTTCGGTAAAGCCGATGCGCTCAAAAGCAGTCGGTGCTTCTGATTCAGTGGGTACACTCGGTACGCTCGCATATGTTAGATTATTTTCTGTGAAATCTTCTATTGTTTTCGCTAACCAGCCAATGAGAGAGTCACTTTGGAACGGTACAGACGAGTTATGAGTTTAGATCTACTAGCTCTCCTGCTCACACCTACACAAAAATACATTTTTCAAAGTTGAAAGTTAGAATTTTTAAGGAGATGTACTTTAAAATGTTTATTCTTGTAAAGGATACCGCTAATCCCTTATCACACCACTCATTGGCTTCGTTAAACTTTTTCAACTGAATGCAGGCACTTGCCCCTGTAAAGGCAAAAAGCACAGACGTCAGCTACAATGGACAAAATTATCGAGAACTATAATCGGAGATTGAAGTCATCCAACTGATTTGAATAATAGATTTGTTTCGGATTCCTTTTCAAAGTTTTTGCCGGCCCTTATCTCGCCCCATGAAAAGGAATCCAAGACGGTCTTGAATTCTGAGTTCCTCGCTGTGGATTCCTCATTCCAGATACTGGATTGTAGTCTTTGTTAGTGGAGCTTGGATTCTGGATTCCAATCATTAGTTGGATTCCTGATTCCTTGGGCTGTATTCCTGATTTTAAAGCCCAGGATTCCGGATTCCACAGGTACAAATATATCCCGGATCCCGAGTTCCACAAGCAAAAATTTTCCGGATTCCAGAATCCGGATTCCCTTACACGGGGCGAGAAAAGTAATAAAAGATCTCTGAGTTAGAATATTAACAGGGCTTGATTAAGTGATGGTAGAAATGAACATAGAATTGGCTAACATTTTCAAGTTTTCTCATTGTGCCTAGGAAAAATCACCAGAGAGTAATAATGCTTAAATTGCTTTGAAATTCTACGCCTCATTGTTTCAGGAGCAACTCGTTTTATACTCAGAATAATTGATGATGTGAACTGTGGAAATACAAATGTATGTGAAAATATGATCGGCGCAGTGGTACTAAAGTAAAGCAATTGCAAAGTAACCCGAAAAAAATTAGGGACTTCAACGGTATTCAAGGCCATAGCCTCTGCGTTCGCCCTGTAGTGCTCTAATCAACTGAAATTTGAAGACCCATACATTGGGAGCGCTGAGGCCAATTTCACGGGTTAAGATGAAATCGACAAATTGGCCTGAGTGCTCCCAATGTATGGGTCTTCATATTTCAGTTGGTTAGAGTACTACAGCGCGAGCTCAGAGGCCATGGGTTCGAATCCCGTTGGAGTCCCGAAAATTTTTTTCTGGTCACTTTGCAATTGCTTAAATTGCAAATACCACTACGACGATCATATCTTCACATAAATTCGTTTATACTCAGTTATTCATTATTTTTTAGATTTGTAGCTCACAGCGCGTAAATGCCTCATGTTCCAAATTCACATTGGTTGAAGGTTAGCATCATTCGTTTTCTCGTTAAGTATCAGTACACAAAACTTTAACTCTTACCTCTCACAGAAGCTTTCAAAAAAGATGGTTGTAATTCAGTGGCAACTTTTGCATCATTTACTGTTTCAGGGTAATTACCTATTAAAATAGATCGCAGAACACACTATGTAACAGCCCAGATAGCTTTAACAGAACAAGGGAAGAGGACATAAATAGCCAACACTGCTAGCGCCACTTCAGTAGACAAAAGGTAAATAAAAGGAAAATACCTCTTATTAGCCGAGATTGAGGTACGGTCTGAGCTGTAAATTTCGGACCAAGTTTTTCTTTCTATCGATTTATATAGTCTTTGAAAGGCTTTCGGTCAGTGCGAACGAGTAGAAAAGCCCACGAGCAGTGAACTAGGGAACGAGCGAAAAACGGCGGGAACAGAAAAGGAGAGGGGGCCTGAAAGCAACTTTTCAAAAAATAAATCGTAATTTACAGTAGGGACCGAGAAAATGAGGTTTATAAGATGTTTAACTGTGACTGAGATAAACGTTCGATTACTGAGCAGAATCCTCTCCTTCGTTAAAATTACTATTCAGTATCTTTACTTTAGCTTCGCTCTCAGTTGAAATAAACAATTAAGGTTAAAATTAGGACGGACGAAGTAAACTTCCAGGTCCTCGACTTTTACAGACATATGATAACTTTCTTTAAAACAAATTTTTCGAGTTACATAGATCTACAGCTGCAAATGAGCATTGGCTTTTGAAAATGTGGTCCGCACGGTAGGTTATGGACCGCAAATTGACCAATCGCAGGGCGAGAACAGCTGAGCCATATAATAAAAGCTAATATAAAACAACTTCTTACCCAAATCAAAATGTGCTGCGGCTCTGTTACTGTACAGTTTGGCGTTAAGTTCTTCATCTTTGCAGTTCGCTTTAATTCCTTCCGAGTAGAAGTGAATGGCGCTGTTAAAATTCTTCCTGTTGTATTCATTGTTACCCTCATTCTTATAAACCTCTGCAATTGCTACAACGAAGAAAATTAATTAATTCTAGGTGTCTCAAACTTTCGTCTTAACAAAAATGGGAAATTGTGGCTTTTCTGTGTTCAAAATTTCCAAATAGCCCTTTCTTTAAAATTTACAACTGCTGCAGCAACATACACAATTTTAGTTCACAAAATTTTAATTTCGTTTAACACGACAGCGTAATGTTTTGCCGTCGGGGTTTCATTGATAAGAATACCTAAGACAACGGTTGTGGTAACGGCGTACATATTAAATTTAATTGAGGTTTTTTCCGTCCATGCACACTAAACGTTGACAAGTGCAGTAATTCCGCTCACCGAAACCGCATCTTTTTGAAACCGGTCTTGGAGTGGTCCAAGGCCCCGTCAACGTGAAGCCATGGGTGAAAAATTGTGAGATTTTTTTAAATGTTTGGATTCGTTTGGACGAGGCCTGACTGTTTGTACCGTCTCATCTCTCAATCGTCGACATAGAAAGCACTAAGCAGCATGTTGTTTTCTTACCTCTTAAATTGTCATCATCAAATTGAAGTCTTCCCTCAGCAGCTGATGTAACGTCATCTTCTTTTGGAGCTTCATCAAACTGAAATGTTTTTTCAGCAGCTGGTGTCACGTCATCTTCTTTTGGAGCAGTAATTGGACCACTCTTCATGCCGGGATTCTATAAATTTGATGTCATTATGTTATCGTGATGTTTGCAGCAAATACAGCGCAGATATTGTTAAAAAGAAATGCACAGCTCGGAACTCTTTCACATCAAATAGAAATAAGCTCGGATAACTTCTCATCTCATAACTCTTCTCATCTTCGTCGGTTGCGAACAGCTAAAAATTTTAGTGCAACTGGATTACACAAAACAAGTTTGTTTTCACTGCTTTTATTTTAAATTATTAAAGAAGATTAAAACTGAAGAGACTCACTTTGTTGACTTTGTGTCATACTTTCTTGCTACTGAAAAATCGTAGGGCAAATATCGACACGGACGGGGTGTATTGCCTGATACCCGCCCTCCGATTTGGTACCCCCATACCCAAAATAGCCAATAAAATCGGGCGAAAATTAATCAGTGAATTATAACGACTGATATCGACAGGTTAACGAGACATTCTTACTTCACGAAAGATGATGAGCGAGTAATAGGCCTGCGCCCCATTTGTACGATGGCGCCGTTCCACTACTTCGACCAGAAAAAAAAAAAAAAAAAAAGGAAAAATTTGGTAGTCCCAGCGAGGTTGAAATAAAAAAGCCCTAATTTGCCAAGAACGCAAAACCCTGAAGGATTCTGATTTTAGTAGTAAAATGACGTCATCCTGCAAATAGCTTATTTAAAGTGTTCACGGACATGTGTGACACGGAGACAGCGAACAAACTGTTTATTCAAAAGTAACAAACGGGCTCTGAATGGTAGTAAGCCTAAGGTTTCAGTGATCTTTAATCAATAAAAACAACTCTCTAGAAATTTCAACCAAATTTAATACCAAAACTCTTTGTGCGTTTATTTTTCGCCTCAATAATCCTTGAAAACGTTACAGCTTATTATCTAAATCAAAATTATGGCATGGAATGTAATTACCCATAACTACTATAATTATATATTTTGCTTGGAACTGGTGATTTAATCGGGACGCCTTCTGGAGTCGCAAAATTGGACTTTTCTGACAATTTAGTGTCCAAAAATTCAGCACGGATACAAAACTCTACGAGGTGGTACTACAGTCTACCAAGTTTACCCCCACCTGCCTTAGCGTCAAAAATCTAGCCGAAAAACACAGATATGTGTCATGTATAAAGCGGAATTCTAAAAGAAGGCGCCTTTATAAAAAGAGCATAAAACATCAGTACGTAACGTTTTCAGTAGCTGTTCATTCATCCCTCGAGCACATTTTGAGACAGGTTTAGTGATGGTCAGTTTCTAGGGCGACGACATATGACGTCATAAGTAGCAGGTGGTCAAGCCAATTTTGGGTAAAAATGCAACTTATTTCAACAATAAAAGTAAATATTGTGGTTCAAATCAAGTAAAGTGCTTATTTAAGTGTTATTTAGTCATATAAAGCACAAAAAATTACCATTTCTCGCGGTTTTAATCTGATTTCTAATTCTTGGTAAAATTCAAGATGGCGGCCAAGATGGCGACCATTGTTGGTGACGTCACAGGCCTCCAGCAGCGCCACCACTCCTAAAATATACCTCATCTTGTTAAGAAGATCAAAGGCCTTCCACTGAAGGTAAAATCGTTTCAAAATACTGCAACATATCAAAAACTTCAGGGAGGGGTTCCATCCACCATCCCCCCCGGCCCCTTTTTACCTCTGTGGGGGTATGAATTTGCGTGTACCTCCGAGGGTTAATATTAGGAATGACAGATTTTGCTTATTTAAACAATTATACCTTGCTGGTTAACATGAAAACTTAAAATCCGCTTCTGTTATGACACACTATAGTTTTTGACCAAATCATTTATTCATGAAATCACAGAGTGCTGTCTCCTATTCGATCTGCAAACTTGGAGGACTCAAAATACCGTTTTTCAAATTTGACTCTATTGGACTTAAAGCACTTCCGTAAAGCGTGATTTACCCAATATAAAGCAACTCTCCTAAACTTGTTACTTCCATCATTCCTTAATGTCTCTGTAAATTTTTATCTAAATCGCCTCTAAAATAGTCTGCTACACAGCCGTTTTTAGTGTCGTCATGCAACGCTCCTCCCTGAGCGTTGCGTGACGACACTAAAAACGGCTGTGTAGCAGACTACCTCTAAAACAGCCGAGAAATAAGCGTTTTAAAGATGTAGTACAGGTAAAAATTTTGCCGCATGAATTTATTCATCTGAGAGTTTACGCTTCACGTATATGGCATACGGCAAACGTCAGATTCAAGTTGAAAATTTCTCAAAATAGGAAATGAGCAGATAAAAACGATTCAAAACAATTCATATGGATAAAAGAACTGCGTGAAATTGTATAATTTATCTAATTAGTAATTATTCTTCTAAAACATTATAGAACCAGTCTTTTAATCAATAAAAACTGATGCAAAAATCAAAATTAAAATCAAAAAGCTTAACCTCTCTTATAATAAGTGTCCCCTCGGCCTTGGGCCCCGTCCACCACCATGTCTTGTCCACGGACCCGAAGAAATGGCCCGTTTTTGTCTCGCCTATATTAAACATCCGGAGTCCGAAATGTGGTAGACTAGAATCAGAGAATGGGTGTCAACAACATCGGTTCCTTTACAAATAACATTGCCTTTGAAACAGAATTGAATGTGAAGGAGAGGACCGTTAACATTGTGAAGAAGGTGATGTCTTCGAATCAGGTAAAAAGTGCTATCATCAGCGTG